GCAGAGTGGAGGCACACAATATCAATGAGGGTACCTGTTACAATGACCACCTGTGTACCTAATCTCAATGTGTACCCCACACCTTTAGAATTATAATTTTTAAATTTTTTTAATAATTCAGCATCTCTTTATAATAAAAGCACTCGACAAATTAGGCATGAAAGAAACATATATCAACATACTAAAGGTCATATATGGCAACCCCACAGCTAATACCATTTTGAATGGTGAATATCTGAAAGCCTTTCCTCTAAGGTCTGGAACAAGGAAAGGGGACTGACATTCACCACTCTTATTCAACATTGTACCGGAAGTCCTAGTGAGAGCAATCAGGCAAGAGAAAAAATAAAAGTCATCCAAATTGGAAAACAGGAAGTCTAATTGCTCCTCTTTGCAGATGACGTGATGTTATATATAGAAAAACCTAAAGACTTTATCAAAAACAACTGCTAGAACTGATAGACATATTCAGTAAATTCACAGAATACAAAATTAACATACAAAAATTGGTAGTATTTCTATACCCTTATAAAAATCTATCTGAAAAAGAAAGCAATAGCTACAAAAAAGTACACTTAGGAATTAATTTAGCCAATGAGCAGAAAGAATCTTCCAAAGTCAATAAGACATTGATGAAATAAATTGAAGATACAAACAAATGGAAAAATATCCCATGCATAAGGATTGGAAGAATGAATTTGTTAAAATGACCGCACTACCAAAAGCAATCTAAAGATTCAGTGCAATACCTATGAAAATACCAATACTAAAGAAATACAAAAAATAACCTGAAAATTCATATGAAACCACAAAAGAGTCTAATTAACCAAAGTAGTACTGAGCAAAAAGAACACAGTTGGAAGCACTTTACTACCTGACTTCAAAATATACCACAAAGCTATAGTAACCAAAACAGCATAGTATTCGTATAAAAACAGACACATAGACCCAAAAATAAAGTCATATATTTACACCCAACTGACTTTTGACAAAGGCACCAGGAACCTACTTTGGGGAAAGAACACCCTCTAATATGGGAAAACTGAATATCCATATACAGAAGAATGAAACTAGAACTCTATCTCTCACCATATGCAAAAGTCAACTCAAGCTAAAGTGTTACAAATAAGAACCAGAACTATAAAAATACTGGAACAAACCATAGAGGAAACACCTCAGGACATTGGTCTATGCAAAAATTTTATGGCCAAGACTGTAAAAGCATAGGTAATGAAAAATAAACAAAAATAGGCAAATGGGAATATGTTAAACTAAAAAATTCTGCACAGCAAAGGAAACTATCAACAGAGTAAAAAGACCACCTGAAGAAGAGGAGACAATATTACAATAATAAACTATTTGTCAGACAAGGGAGTAACATCCAGGTTATAAAAGGAAGACTTTATCAATAATAGGAATATCCAGGTTATAAAAGGAATTCAAAAGCCTCAAGAGAAAAAATAAATAACAATCCCATTAAAAACTGGGTAGAGTATCTGAGTAAACATTTCTCCAAAGAAGACATGCAAATAGGCAACAGGCATATGAAAAAAAAATGTGTAACATCGCTAATTATCAGAGAAATGCAAATAAAACCACAATTTGATATAATCTTATCCCACTTAGAATGAATATTATCAAAAGGACAAAAAATAACTTTCCTACAACAGTAGAAATTAGTGTAGCCATGATGGAAGACAGTACAGTGGTGTCTTGAAAAACTAAAAATAAACTTACCATAGGATCTGGCAATCACACTATTGGATATCTATCTAAAGAAAAGAAAATCAGTATATCTTCTCACCACATCCTCTCCAGTCATCAATTGTTTTTTGAGTTATTGATGATGGCCATCATGACTGGAGTTAGGTGGTATCTCGGTACTTGGTATGGTTTCAATTGGCATTTATTTGATGACTAGTGAGACTGAGCTTTTTTCATGTATCTGTTGACTGCTCATATGACTTATTTTGAGAAGTGTCTATTCATATCTTTCGCCCACTTTGTAATGGGGCTGTTTGTTTTTCTCTTTTTGGCACATTTGAGTTCCTTGTAGATTCTAGATGTTAGGCCTTTGTCAGATTTACAGTTGGCAAATATTTTTTCCCATTCTGTGGTTGTCTCCTTGCTCTCTTGATGGTTTCTTTGGTTTTGCCAAAGCTTGTCAGTTTGATGAGGTCCCACTTGCCTATCTTATCTCTTATGGTATGGGCACTTGGGGTTTTGAACAGGAATTGGTTGCCAGTTCCAATTTCCATAAGGGTGTCTCCTGCATTTTCTAAGGTTCTTATAGTTTGAGGTTTTAAGTTTAGGTCTTTTATACATTTAAAATTGATTTTTGTGTATGGTGATAAGTAGGGGTCTTGTTTTAATCTTCTGCCTGTCCATCATCAATAACTCAAAAAACAACAGATGCTGGAGAGGATGCAGCAAAAAGGGAACACTTCTACACTGTTGATAGGAGTGTAAACTAGTATAACCTCTGTGGAAAACAGTGTGGTGATCCCTAAAAGATCTAAAAATCAACCTCCCATACAACCACGCAATCCCTCTACTTGGAATATACCTGGAGTAACTCAAATCATTCTATGAAAAAGATACCTACACATACATATTTATTGCAGCATTATTTACAATAGCAAAAACATGGAACCAACTGTGCTACCCATTGAAAGAGGACTGGATTAAAAAATGTGGTATACATACACACAGTGAAATATTGCATATCTAACCCTGAGCTGTACCCCACATGTTAAAACTAAAACAAAATTTTCAATCTACCTCTAAAGGGACACCCACACCTATGTGTTTATTGTAGCACTATTCAGGAATTGAATAAACCCAAGTATCCCTGAGTGAATGACTAGATAAAGCAAATGTGGTATATATATATATGTAATTGAATACTTTTCAGCCATAAGAAAAAATGAGATGGAATATTATGCAGTCATAAAGAAAAACAAATTTATGAACTTTGCAGCAACCTGGATGGAATTAGAGTCTGTAAAACTCAGTCATTTTTTACAGAAACAAGAATCTTGGTACCACATGTACTCACTCATAAGTGAACCCTGAACATTTATCATAATACTATAAGAGATTGGCTGTAGTAGGACACTGCCAGAGGAGGCAGGGACACATAACGTCAATAAGGGTACCCACACTTTACCTGTATGATGACTATGTATGTACCTAACCCTCATTTGTACCCATATTTTAAAAATAAAATAAAATCATTTAAAAAGAAAAAATGAAATACTGTCACTTGCAGTAACATGGGTGGAACTGGAGATCATGGTGTTTAGTGATATAAGCCAGGCACAGAAAGATAAGTATTACATGTTCTCACTCATAGGTAGGAGCTAAAAAAGATGATCTCATAAATGAAGAGAGAAGAAAGATAGTTACCAGAGGCTGGAAAGGGTTGGGGCAGGGGAATGAAAAGAGGTTGATAATTGGTACAAATGTACTGTTAGACAGAAAAAATAAGCTCTACTGTTCAATATCACTGTGGGGTGATGATGATTATCAACATATCAACAGGCAATATATTGTGGATCTCAGAATAGCTAGAGGAGAAGATTTGAAATGTTGCCTGCACAAAGAAATGATGAATTTTTGAAGTAATGAATACCCTAAATACCCTGATTTGATCATAATACATTGTATGCATATATCAAAATATCACACGCACCCCATAAATATGTACAAATACTATGTATCAATAAAATATTTTTTAAAAATTGTACTTATTTACCCTAACCAAGAAACGTGTAAGTCCCATCACAGTTTTCTGAAATTCTGCATATTGTTTTGTAAAGGAGATTTCAACCCTTTTCAGCCCTTTTATTCAATTACGGCAAAAAATAAGACATAATAGACAATTCTTTAAAAAGATAGATCATATGCAAAATATTTTACCACAATGAAACTTAAGTATTCTTTCTCTGATAGAAAGGAAATAACATTAAACTGGCAGCTTGAGTGTGTGTAGAGACCAAGGGCATTATTTACGTTCAATCATGTTAGAATGGTTCTGGCCACAAGTAACAGAAATCCAACTTACTACTACTCAAATAACCTGGCATGTCAACTAAGAGATATATACCTAAAAGACATGAAAAATATGACTATGCAAATGCTTGTGCATGAATTTTTATGATAGTCAAGAGTGGAATCAACACAAAAATCCATCTACTATTGAATAAATAAGCAAAATGTGGTATATCTATACAATAAAATATTATTTATTTATTAAAAAAAAATGAAGTACTGATGCATGCTACAAATAGATGAACTTTTAAAACATGAAAGAAGCCAGGCACAAAATGCCGGTTTATTATATACTTCCATTTATATGAAACATCCACATTAGGCTATTTCATAGAGACTGAAATTCGTGGCTTTTAGGGATGGTATGAATGAGAGGATTGGAAGGAGTTCAAAACAAAATAGTCACTAGCATACTTAACTTCCTAATTCTGCTAGAATTCTAGAGAGAGCTCATGAGAAAAAATGAAAAGAATGCTGAATTAGGAGATAAAAGAATGCATATATCCTAGAGACACTTTCTCACTTTCCCTCAGCCTCAGTTTCCTCACATGCCCATGGAGGCAATAATTTAGGGGGCTATAAGACTTTAGAGACAATAGGTGTACAAGGAAAGCACTTTCCGAAAGACAAGAAGTTATTTAGTTACTCACAGACAAGGGTAAGTTGTTCAGTATCAAAGATACTCAGAGAAAATTCAAGAGTGACTTTAAATTCTCTATTTTAAATACTTCCTCTCTCCTTTATAGGCTATCCTTTTCCCTGAGGTGTCTCTGAATGAGAGCCTCTTTCTAATTGCCAGTAAAAACTGATAAACCTGGTTACATGGAATTCGACTCTTTGGGGGTGCCAATTAGAGGCAGGATTCAGTACATTTAGGCTAATAATTGAATTTCATTTTGTTTCTCTTTCCAGGGTGCTTGGAATTCTGACATAGAATGTTATAAAAGTATGGGAAAGTGTGGGGGTGAGTATTCTGGAAACTTCCATTGGTTAGACCCGCTGCTATGACGAGGCACCCTGATGCAAGGAGAACAATCTCAGCCCAGAGCCTCTGAGGATCAGGCTATCTCTTCCAGAGCTTGTGGAGGCTTGGACTACTAAGATTTCCATATGCCACAGGTGTTGAGGTCTGCAGTCTGAATTCAGCTGAGAACATTGCATAGCTTCACTTTTCACCAGGCTTCAATGGAGCGGAGACTCCTAGAATTACTTTCGGTTCAATGTCTGTGTATTCCCCTCTTCTCCATTTGTCTTCCCATAGGTCCCCTTTAATTATGTGAAATGCATTATCAAAAACCTTTCTAATATGTGATCATGAATGTATGGCATTATGTTCTTCCCACATCGATTCACTTTTATGTCAAAGCCAAAACTCTTTCATTTAATTTTGGATTGAACATGCACTTTTAAAAGAAGTGCTGGGAGATAGAGATAAACAGATTGGGAAACCATGTATCCTTCCGTTTTTAAAAACTTATCTGCAAGTGTGGAGTTTTTTGTTTTGTTTGGATGTTAAATTTGAGTTGAGATTTTTCAATAGAAGGGTAGGTGAGTATTCCTTGTCTTCTGCCATCTGCTGCCTTTGTAAATGAGATGGAGGATATCCTTAAACCACTGTGCTCCCTGGTGGGTTGATGGTATTATGATTTTGTAGGGTGGCCTCAGTCAACTGCAGCAGCTGTTCCTTTTCAGAGGGGCTGGAGCTTTGGTGAGAGCCGCAGAAGAGGTGCAACTGGTGTTTATACGCTAAAAGCAAGTGAGAGAAGTCTTTGCCTCTCCATACCTCTTCGCCTTCTCTCATCAAGTCCTCAGAAACCACAGCACTGGCTGCAGGGTTCTGCTGAATTAACACGGCCCCAAAAGACTACGTGACTGAGTATACACACAGTACCAGATCTCCGTGAGCCCCACTCCATCTACCCCTTAAAACACTTAGTCCTGGGGAGTGCTTGAGAATGTACTTGCTTTTCATTTTTCACTGACCTAATCGCCTACTGCTGAAATATTTTAAGCATGCAGAAGTTATGGAGAATGGTATAGGAAATACTCAGGCATGCTGTGTATTGCACAACTAAGAGTATGAATTATAAAATGTCAGAATCAAAGTCTGGGATTCCTGGATGTGCCTCCAGCTGAGGAATCAGGCTCCTGAGATATATTATCATCTCTGTTTTCCCAACACACAGGTTGTACGATGGTCCACTGCCTGTGTTGGCTATCATGGATCCTGACACGATCAAAACAGTGTTAGTGAAAGAATTTTCTTCCATTTTCACAAACTAGTGGGTAAGTATTTATTGGGGAAAACTTTTATTTATTTAGTTAACTAGTTAGCATTTTGAAATCATTATATACTCACAGAAAGTTGCCCCAAAAATGTACAGGGAGGTAATGTCCACTTCATCCTGTTTCCCCAACTGGTGACATTTTACTTAACTATTTAGTATATTCCTGTTACTCTAGTAACAGAAAATTGACATAGATACAACCCAGAGAGCTTATCAGATTTCCCGTTTTATGTGCCCTCATTTTTTAGCAAAAGTGTGTGTGTGTGTGTGTGTGTGTGTGTGTGTGTGTGTGTGTGTAGTTCTATGCAAATTTATCCCATGTGTAGATTTGCAGAATGACCAGCACAATTGAGATACAGAACTGCTCCATCACCATGACACTCCCTCCTGCTATCCTTCTACAGTCATAGTGTGTAGCTTGTCTTTTCCTCTTAACAGCATCTATATCAGAGCAAACTTTTTTAGTTTGAGGAGATCAACTTATCATTTGTTTTTTTTATGGATTGTGCTTTTGCTTTCAAGACAATAAAGGTATTCCCTTAGCATTCTTTGTTGTTGTTTTTTTAAAGTCATGTAGCTTATTGTTTTGCATTTAAGTCTATTAATTAAAGTATAAGGTATGAGGATTAGGACAAGGCTCATTTTTTTGTGGACTATGGCCGTCCAGTTGCTCCAACACCATTTTTGGAAAGGCTATCCTCCCTCCATTGAATTGCTTTATTTACTTACCATGGTCACTTACCATTTACCATTGCCAAAAGTCAGTTGTCCCTATTCACATGCATCTATTTCTCATTCTCTGTTCTGTTCCCTGGATCATGGTATCAGTTATTCTACCAATACAACACTGTCTTCACTAAAGTAGCTGTATCGTGAGTGATGCTTCCCACTTTATTCTATTTTCAGAAGTTTTAAAGTTGATCTTAGTCCTTTGCCTTTTCCTACAAATTTAAAATAATCTTGTCAATATCTACAAGCAAATTTGCTGATATTTTGATAAGTACTGAATTAAACCTATAGACCAATTCTGGGAAAAATCTGTATCCTTATACTATTGAATCTTTCAGTCTATGAGCACACCATGCCTCTCCATTTATTTAACCTTTTTTCCTTTCCTTTGACATTGTGTAGTTTTCAGCATAGAGATCCAGTACATTTTAAAAAGATTTATCCTTAAAGTATTTTATTAGCATTGGAATAATTATAAATAGGACTGTGTTTTTATGGTGTTTTCACTGCTGTTATGTAGAACTATGATTGAAGTATTTTTTCTTCATTATGAAAATTTTTATTTTATTTTTCTAATTTTGTGTATTATGGATACAAGTGCAATTTTGTTACACTGATATAGTTCATTGTGGTTAAGTCAGAACCTTCAGAGTATATCACTGAAGCAACACACACTGTACCCCAAAAGCAACCTCCCATTATCTATGGCCCTTGATATTAGTGTGCTGACCTTGTGTCTTAAAATCTTGAACTCAGGCAACCTCCTCAGGTCCCCTCCCACTGTGGGAGCTTTTCTGTCCTCTCAATCAATCCTGCTTTCACAAACACCCTTGAACTCACTTATTAATTCTAGAAATTTTTTATATACTGCTTAAGATTTCCTACATTGATAATTATGTCACCTGAAAATAAATACTCTTCTATTTTTTCCTTTCCAATCTGTATGTCTTTTATATATTTGTTTCTTTTCTACAGCACTAGGACTTCAAGTATGATGTTGAATAGGAGTGGTGAGAGTGGACATTTTTTAATTGTTCCTGATCTTGGGGGAAAGCATTCAAGTTTTCACCATTAGGTGTGATTTAGCTGGAAGTTTTTTTTTGTAGATTCTCTTTATCAAATTGAGATACTTTCCCTTTCCTCCAAGTTTGCTGAATTTTTATTATAAATGAGTACTGGAAGTATTCATTTTAAAACAAAATACAGTTTTAAAAAATGAAAAAAAAAAGGATCAAACATGTTGGCTTCATAGACCAGTCCCAAGTTGGGAAATAAAATTCTCTCTTTATTTTTTCTCATACCCTTGAAGAAAAATTAAAAGAAAAGGACTTTCATGTAACTGCATTATTTCTTCAGAACAGAGTCCTAATATTTTAAGTATTACAGTTTTTAAATCACCACATTAAGGCATCCTGTTTTCAAGTTGCTCATCATTTAGGTGTATGTAAAGACTGGGCTTATGAGCAGGAGTATGAGGCAACATGCAGTTGGCCAAGCCTGTTACCAATCCCTTGCTATTCTGCACAGCCTTGGAAGAAGTGTTAGGTCTCTTTTCTATTTCACTGGAATAACAGGTCCCAGGTTCCCTGCCACATGAAGTATTTGTATTTACAAGGAGACTGGAATATAGAGGCTGGAAATCACACCAGGTGGCCGAGTATTGCCCACTCACTCAGAGGAGGACAGGCATTGGTGATAAACTTTTATTGAGCATCTAGTTTAAAGCCTGTGACTTAGAGACAGTCACTCAATATTTGTTAGATAAGTGATGCCTGTGTAACACATTTTTTATAACTGCAGAGACTTCCAAAATGTTTTTCTTTGTACTCTAGCCTTTAGGTCCTGTGGGATTTATGAAAAGTGCCATCTCTATATCTGAGGATGAAGAATGGAAGAGAATACGATCATCGCTGTCTCCAGCTTTCACTAGTAGAAAGCTGAAGGAGGCAAGAAAACAGGAAGACTTATGATTAGAAACTTGGAGATTAACTGGGAGGCATTCTAGTCCATTTAAAAGGTGGCATCCACTGTATCTGAGCTTCCTAAAAGTGGTCTTTTATCTTTATGTGCAGAAAAAAATTATAAAATGCATCATAAAATGCCACTGACTGCTCTGTGCTTGAGAGAGTCACATTCTTCTGGGACTTGAGTCTGCACATCTAACCACTAGTTGTGTTGTGTTGTATGCTTAGATGTTCCTCATAATTGCCCGGTATGGAGAAGTGTTGGTGAACAACCTAGGGAGGGAAGCAGACAAAGGCAAGCCAGTCACCATGAAGGAGTAAGTAGGAGCACACCATGGGGTTTTGAGCTGTCATGAGACCCTCCAGCTGCCTACTGTGGAACTGACATTTCTGCTGTTGAGGTGCTCCAGTGATCAGACAAAATCAGGGGTTAAGGTTTGCAATTCCAATGGGTCACACAGAAAGGGGGTGGCTTTCAGGATAAGGCAGGGCTGTCAGAGGGAAAAGGGTCTTCTCCCCAGGGCACAGGACCAAGGTTTACTTAACTGATCCTCTGCCACCTTGGATATTCTGAAAGACAAAATGCATAGTTTAGAAAGATAAAAACATGAGCCAACCGATGCTTTGAGCATAGAGAATGTGGAATGTTGGTAGGGGAAGGCACTTGGTGGAAATTGGCTTGCATTAAGTGTAGTGGGAAAGTTACAATGGGAAACTTGGAATAACTTCAATCTCTCCATGGTTTTGGAGAAAATTCCACCAAGATATGAAACATTAAGTCTTCCTACCACTTCTCCTTCCTCCAATCTCAAGAGAGAAAGGGCCCCAGAAAGGCTATGTCTAGAGAACACCTATTGTTTACTGTCTAAACTGAGGTATGTTTGAATTTATGCAGGATTCACAAGTGTACATGGAGTTTGTCCTGGGCAAACTGGGGACATGTGGACACTAGCTATGGGGTTGCCCAAATGAACTTTGGTATGAAGTATTTTTTTAACAAGGAACATTTTGGCTTCACACTTTGCAAAAATGATCTGCAACCTCAGATCACAGGAGTTGGGAAATGTGGTCTTTCTGGAGCCTTATCAGGAAGTGTAGAGGGTGAGGGATAATATTTCTGGCAACTCACAGAATAAGGTTGCCATTCTGTACTGTGCTGAAGAAGTATCAGCTGTAGGCATTAACCCTGTGGTGAGGCAACGTCATTTTTCTAAAGTCCCCAAGAAGAGTTAATTATTTCACTATTGTTCTACTGAAACACAGTCTGACACATCTTTTCTCATCCATACTCACACAGTGCTGCCATTTGTCAGATTATGGGACTCTGTCTCTCTATGACTAAGTTCCTTGAGCTCAGAGATGGGTCTAACTCAGCTTGGTGTCTCCTTTACCCTCAGCACAGGGCTAGATACCGGCACCCAATAACCACCTCAGGAGTGAGCGTGATGGGAGATGACCCAATGGATAGTTATGAAAGTGCATGGCTCTTTACCTGTCTTTCTCAGGAACATGGATTTACACACACTTTTTGCTGCATGTGTTGCAGAAAAATGGAAAAGAGGTGCTCGCATTAATTTTCCATGTTTTTCTCTACTCAGCATCTTTGCGGCCTACAGCATGGATGTGATTATTGGAACATCATATGGAGTGAACATTGATTCCCTCAACAACCTACAAGATCCCTTTGTGAAAAATATCAAGAAGCTCTTAAAATTGGATTTCCTCACTCCATTTTTTCTCTTGATCAGTATGTGGAGTACTATATTGTTCTTCCTCTTTCTTTCTCTCTTTCTCTAAAAATAAATAAAAAATAAAAATAAAAGCTTTATTGACAAGACAAAATCATGGACGTGGTATTGCAATTCCAGTGTGCCACACAAGAGGAGGTGGCCTTCAGGTAGGGCAGGGCAGCCAGAAAGAAAAGGATCTTTTCCCCAGGGCACAGGACTGAGAGTTACTTAACTGATCATTTGTCACCTCAGATATTCTGAAAGTCAAGATACATAGTTTAGAAAGACAAAAACGTGATAAAACTGATGTTTTGAGCATAGAGAATATGGAATGGAATTTGTATTTGAATACCTGTTTCAGTTCTTTTGAACATATATTCAGGAGTGAAGATTCAGGTTCTATGGGAATTCTATGTTTCACTTGTTAAAGAACTGCCAAACTGTTTTTCACAGTAGCTGCACCATTGTACATTCCCACTAAAAATGTATGATGGTTACACTTTCTCTACATTCTTACCACACTTTGTTTTCCCATCATTTTATTATATACAGCCCAGAGGGTGTGAAGTGGTATCTCATTGTGGTTTTGATTTACATTTACCTCATGGCTAATAATATTGAGCAACATTGGCCTTTTTCATATCTATTTTAGTCCTTTCTCCATATTTACTGTTTATTGCTGAGTTGTAGACATTCTTTATGTATTCTAGATACAAGTCCCTTATCAGAAATGTAGGAGGTTCCAGTAAGATGGTGATGGCATAGGTGGATTTGTGAGACTCTCTGAATGTGTGTTCCCAAAAAGACTCTTACTTTTCTTCCCGCAGCCCCCTGCCCACTGCCAGCTGCACTGGTACGAGGCCTGGGGAACTTTGGTCCCACACAGGGCCAGATATTGCGGCCCCTGTCTGCAGCTGCTCCACTATATGTGACTCCTGCCTCCTCAGGAGTCCTGGGTCTCGGCTCCCTGTCTGGCTAGATCTTCTCACCCAGCACCCAGCACCAAGCTGCCGGTCACCCCGGGAGGCTCTGGGCGCCTGCCCCTCAGAGAGACCAGTCCCATTTCTGGGTGAAGTACCCTGTGAGGGACTCAGGGCCACCACCTGCCCTTTAGAGCTTTGGAGCTCTGGAGCCCTGGGGCCACCCTGGCGGAGGCACTCAGCGCGACCCCAAGCTTGTGTAAGTGAACAGAACCCCAAGCTTGTGTAAGGTGCTGATCGGAGGTTTCCAGCTCCAGAGGAGGCAACCCTGACCCTCTCCTCCACCCCAGTCTGCTGGTGACACCCTGGATCCAGCGCCCAGCTGCGCAGATGATCCCTGGGTACCTCTGCCCAGAGACCCAGATGGGTATTCCTGAAATTGAAAGTGAAGCTACCACCTCAGCTATTCTCCAGGCAGATTTGCGTTGCCCCGCCCACCTATCAGAGCCTCCAGCTCAGTTCCCAAGGTAACGTCGTTAAACAGGAGACAAAGCCCCTCCCCTAAACTGAACAGAGACAACTAAGCGTCACAGACTTCCCAGGCAGCAGGCTAGCTGCCTGCAACAAAAACAAAGGGGATGAGCTGGAGATCAGAGTTCAAGTGACTTTACACACTAAGGAAAGATTCCAGAGCTAGTCTAATCTCTTATTTTGACCTTTGATTTTATCATTCTGACTGTATGTTTTGCTCACTACTGTTTGCATCTGAACTTACACTATCTGTTTCATGATTTTATTGATATGTCTCTGTGTAGCTACCAGTATTCTTTAGGGAATTTTTGTTCTGTGTTTTTTTTTTCACTTCTCTCCGGGCTTGTGTCTCTTTTTCACCTGTTAGTTGGTATGTATGTCTGTTTTCCCTCTCACACTACTCTCTTTCTAACCTCCTATTGACCCCCCCTTCCTACATTATTTTCCTCTTTTGTACCTCCTTTTGCTCCAGGGACCAAAGCTACACCCTGCTGCATAGACAGATTGTAAGGCAGTAGCAAATAGGTACCAGTGTGCTGATACACCTGTTGGTGGATGCTGTAATCAGCATATAGATTCTGAATCACAGTTTCCCTTTCAATTAAACCTCAAAACTGTAAAAAGTACAGCCCGTAACCCACACTCCAACCTCAAAAGTGAACAAAGCCAGAGGATCCTCATAAGGAAGAACAGGAGAATATACAAGGGAAACAAAAGCAATCACACCTTCCCCTTCTTTAAAAGAGAATTAAAGAAGGGGAGGGAAAGGAGGAGAGAGAGAAAAATCTACTCAAATGAACAAAAAGCAAAAGAAGAATATTGCTCTCTCCCAGACCCCTGGGAGGGCAGACATGGAGAAAACTGACTTCGGAATGCAAACAATGAAGAGTCCCCAGAATGACTGGTTCCAAACTACAAACCTAGGTATCAAGACGTTAATGGAGAGATTAAAAAGAACTGAGGAGAGTCAGGAAGAAACTAGAAAGGAGCTGATATCTGAGATAACAAAGAATACTGTGAATAAAATAAATAACAAACTGATAAGCACGGAAAGCAGAATTGCCCAAGCAGAAGAAAGAATCTCACAGCTTGAGGACCAAAATATAGAACTAGCCCAAACTCTTAAAAACACAGAAAATAAGCTCAAAAAGACAGAACTAAACCTTCAACAGATGAGCGATTACTTCAAGAGACCGAACCTAAGAGTAATTGGCCTTCCTGAGGCAGAAAGAGAGACAGAGACCAAACTTTCCATGAGATCATTCAAGAAAACTTCCCTTATCTAATCAGGGATGCAAAAATTCAAACACAAGAGATTCAGAGAACCCCTGCAAGACAACAAATGAGAAGAACAACTCCTAGACACATAATAATTCACCTAAACAAAGTAGGCATAAAAGAAAAAATCCTAAAGGCAGCAAGAGAAAAAGTCCAGACACCTACCATGGAAAACCAATTAGAATAGCAGCAGATTTATCTACAGAAACGCTGCAGG